TGGAGTCCAAGTCAGCAGAACTGGTAGGACATCCTAGTGTTTCTCTCCCTCTTTCCCTGGGTTATTCCTTTACCTTTCTCCTTATAAATAAATCCATTATTTAACCTTTTTGAGTGTGTCCATAATACGATTGAATTGTAAGTGCGTGGGTGAAGACCCACAGACAGGCAACCCAGTTCACATTGGGGTACCCTGTAACAATGCCTCTCCTGCATTCTTTCCTCCATCAGAACCAAATGGATATTCAGGTTGAAAAGCACAACAATGGAAATAAAATGATTACAACAACTGAAATAAAATAGGTTTGAGCTGGCCGGTTTGAGAAGATAGAAGGAATCAATGACGTAAGACACCACCAGAGAGGGTTACGGATTCACACACAGGAAAAGCATGGGAAATAATACACATTTGCGTAGATGCAAGAGATCATTTAACACAGACACATGTATTTGTTTCCTTTTTTCCTTCTGTTTAAAGAAATAGTTATACCATACTATGGTTGCTTGTATAGCATATATAAATGTAATATACCTGGTCATAAACGCACAGAGGAGTGGGTAGGAACTATACAAATATGCTGAATTTTCCTGGAATTAAAGCAATAGTAGTCAGGAGCATACTAGGGCAGACTTTAGAGGACACAGCCAAGAAACTGTTGGGGCCAACGGCAGGCTGCCCCGGAGTATGCATCCAGTGGCCTTAATAAGAGGATTCAAGAGTGATGTTTTGCCTAATTAGCGCCCAGAAAACAGGAAATCACTGGTGGTGTGAGAGGTGGGAGACAGCCTTCCAGGCTTAATCTGCCCAGGCTGTAGCCTGCCAGGTCTCTTTTCTGTGTTAATGCAGATAAAACCTGCAAAATTCCTTTTTCTTTAAATCACTGAGTTCTTTGTTCCTTTTTTTTTTTTTTTTTTTTTTGCCTCTGAAACATATCTCCTCCTTTCTGGAGACTATTTAATGTCAGAAGAATGACCGGAAGTCACAGTCTTATTCTTGTAAAAAAAATTTAAAAATATATTCATACATCATCCTCCATTTTTGTACAATGATTTCCCCGTGAAATTCCCACCACCAGTTCCCTCGAGGACCATCACCATAGTCCCCTGTGCTCTTCCCACCCCTGTCCTGGTCCTTCTCCCTCCTCCTCCCCTATAGGATGCCTCTGATCCACAGTTGCCTAATGATTTTGATTTTTACTTTATATAGTTATCTTTTTTCCTGATTCCTTATTTGGTCCCTCTACATTCCTCCTATAAGTGAGATCATTTGATATTTGATATTTTTCGTTTTCTTTCTGGCTTATTTCACTGAGCATAATCCCATCCAGCTCTATCCATGTTACTGTAAAGAGCATGAGTTTATCCTTTTTGATTGCTGAGTAATATTCCACTATGTAAATATACTACATCTCCTTCACCCAGTTATCTATTTTTGGGAATTTGGGTTGCTTCCATAGCTTACCTATTGTAAATTGCAGAAGGCACACTTTAATTCTATAGCCCCTGCTCATCAAATTTGCTTTTTCTTTTGCTGCCCTCTCTTGTGTTGAATTTTCCAGCCTTAAGGACCTAGAAGGGCAGAGGAAGAGTAGCTTCCTCCCCCAACAAAAGCTATTTATTGTTACCTTCCATAACCCAGGACTGAACATAACTCAGGCCTTCCAGGGGTAAAGATGCACTGTTGGCTGATTCTGCACACCAGGGAAGGAAAGACTCCAGGTCCCCAGAGCAGCAAAAGGATCTGTTGATATCAAGATGAGCTGGCTGAACTGGCGTCAGTATGCTACCCCTAGGTGGCAGCTTGGATAAAGATCAAAGACCCTGCCCAAACAGCAACCGCTGATCAAAAGGGCAGCATGACTCACTGGTACTTTTCCACTACCTCTCCAGGCCCACAAAGCGGGGCACATAAGAGACCCCTCGCCTGTACACTGGGAGTGACCTCCCAGGGCTGCGAATCTTGCTCTCCTTTCTCTTACTTCTGTCTCTTTGCCTTATTCTATCTGCCAGACCTGACATTCTCCAAGTGCTCTACACTGTCCCACAGACTGAGAATATTTCCCGCAACACCCTTCACCAAACATTTTGGCCATGTCCTCCTGTCTCATTATGGATTTTGTCAGCATGCATTTTCTGTCTGCCTGAACGGTCTGCCCAGCCCCTGGAAGGGCTGATGCCCTTCATCATGCTCAGACTAACACTGCAGAAAGGGCAGGGAGGACAGACACGACAGGGCTTCTCAACTCCAGGTTCAGCACAAATGTCTTGGCTGCTCTATAAGTAACCCTCGTGGGAAGGAAGGTTCAGTCCCATAGAGCGTTTCTGAGAAATGAGCTACCTGCAAGTGCACATCGTTGCAGCAGAACTACTGAATCCCACACAAGTTCTGAATAAACACCTGTAGGCATCTAGGGTTCTTCCCACTTGATAGTGCATTTACAAGTCTAGAAATGTAATGAGCCCCCATGTTCTCCAGAAACAAAGCCTTCAGTTGTTCTGTTAGCTAACCCTCAAACCCCACCCCCCACCAAAGGCTTGGTTCATTACCTTCATTTTACAGATGAAACTGAAGTTCAGAGTGTAACAGGGTGATCCCCGGGAAAAGGGAAAGTTCCACGTTCTCTCCCCCAGACAAGCTGGGCCCAGGGAGGAAGGAGAAGCTGGAGAGGAGACTGGAGAAGGGAAGGTGAAAGATGGGAAGCAAGAAGACCTGGAGGAGGCAGGCGGTGAAGAATCTGCATTTGCTTCTTGGTCCTGGACTGGTTGAAACAGATGTGGGTGAGAGATCCGTGGGGAGGTTAACAATGGCAACTTTGATTCTGATTTTGTTCCTTCTGTTGTTACAGGGCAGAGGGAGAGAGGGGTACCACTGAACCCCCAAACCTGCCTGCTCTAAATACGTTCTGCCATCTGCCACATCAAGACAAAACATATGAGACTTTAATGAAAAGGAACTTTAATACAGTGAGTATACAATACGGAAGACAAAGAATATAACTTCTAAATCAAACACCTGAAGCTACCCATCCCCTCGTGGGCAAAAGTCAACCCAAAAGGGATTGGCCCAAAGCAAGGCCTGAAAGCTGCCATAGCCTAAAGCATCTTCTGGCCAGGACCCATAGAAAAGGGTCAGAAATGGCCAGACAAATCCGGGAGGAAAAGAGCAAAATCAAAATCAATATAAACACTGCCATAGTCACCTCCCTACAGGTCTCTCACCCACATCTGCCTTAACCAGTCCAGGGTCAAGAAACAAGCATGGTTTCTTCATCACATGCTTGCTGCTCCACGTGGCTTCCTCAGGTCTCCTTCTGGCTCTCCATCCTGTTTCCTTCCCTTCTTCTCTCCAGATTCTTCTCTTCTCTCCTCAGCTCCACCCTCCCTGCTTCTGGGTGGGGCAGGGAACCTGGAACTTCCCCTTTTCCTAGGGTCCACCCTGTTATACTTGGGTCTCAGATGTGCTGGGCCCCTTCTGACTCTACCCTACCAGTCTCCACCGGGTGGTGCCTCAGAATCATGGTAAACTTTCAGGTCTGTGACCCTACTTTAGGTCAACCCTGTGTGGATGGGCATTTCCCCTTGAGGGGATGAGTCGCTGTGGGTACTTGATTTGGAGACTATATTCTTTGTCTTTTCTTTGTGCTGACCACTAATTGTATTGTATTAAAATTCCTTCCCATTAAAGGTCTCATGCACTAGGGTATGTTTTGCCTTGACATGGAGGATAGCAGAGCCTAATTAGAACAGGCAGGTTTGGGGATTCTGGGGTGCCCCTCATCCTGCCCTGTAACAAGAGTGGTTAAGACACAGTGGAGTGATCTAAGCCCCAACAATAGGATGACTAACCTCTCAGTGACAAGGGCTCCCCAGGGAGGAGGAATCCTGAGAGGTAGTGTGTTAAAAAGAGCTGAGTCACAAAGGGAAACTTTTTTTTTTTTTTAAAGAAAGGTATATTCACTTTATTCTTCTAAATCTGCTTCCCCTCAGCAGCGTATTTCAGCCAATCCATTTGTTTTAAAACCCCATAGCTCCCTGCTCCTCCAGATTACACCCATTTGACTCTACCCAACTAAGCTCCCCTAGAAAAACAAAGGTCCATTTTCCTTTCACATCTTAGTCCATCCCCCCACTGCACAGGCAGACCCCTCAGGACCTGCTGACCACTCCCACCAGATGCATCTAGGGCCCCAATCATTTGTCACCAACCTGGTGACTGACTATACCACAAAGGTCACAGTGAATAAGGTCAGTAGTTGTTCTTCAAGGACTCTAGCACACTGAGGCAATAGGTGATACCCAAGCGTGACTCTCGCCTCGATACAAAGGGAAACTTAATCAATTGTATATATCTTCACCTTGACCAGCTGCAAAAACACAGGTTTGCAAAAGTTCTCACATGTAAAATCTTTCATATTGATTCCATCAAGTTGACAAGATGTCAAAAATGCATAGGGATTGTTTACAAATGAGGAACTTGAGCCACTGCTACAGCAGCACAAAATCCAACATTCATTTAAATGACCAAATATCATGTATGAAAAAATTTGAAAATCGAATTCATAGAAAACATTAACTCTGTCCCTGGCACCCTCATGTTGTAAAAATGACAAACATGGGCCCTCCCTGGTGGCACAATGAGTTAGAACGCAGCACTGCAAGCTAGCTGCAGCCACATAAGTGGAAATTCAATCCTTGGTCCTGGGAGCTGACCCACATGGTGCAGCAGACGTCTCCTGTCTCGCCTGAGGCCCCCTCACCAGAGTACGTTGTCAATCTGCCTGCTCTGCTCCCCACTCTGCTTCTGGTGAATTCTCTCATTGTCCCTGCACCTCTGGCTTGTACCCCAGGTCGGTATCCATAAATAAATAAATAAATCTTAAAAAAAAAAAAAGAAAACAAATAAAAACAAAAAAATATTAAAAAAAGAGACAAACATGTTTTTAAGTTATAAGTTTACTATTCAAAGCAAAGATCTACACCACAGCTAGGTGTTGTCAGGAGTCCACCTACCCTGTGTGATAGAAGTTTAGAGGACCTTGGACAGCTAACTTGTCCCCATGAGGCTTCAGCTCTGATTAGTCCTTTTTGGCTGACATACATCTGAGTTTTGACTATGGCAGTACACAAGACCAAACAGTATTGCTTTTTAAATAAATCTAGAAGATTCCAGTGACACAACTCTCCTAGAGTCTACCTGTTATACTGGGGGAAACACAACCCAATTTCGAGGTGTTAGCAGTTTGTGCAAAGTGCAGTGGAGTCTAAACTCCACATCTGCAAATATCTTCCTACCTGGCACTCCTTGCAAATGCCAACCCAAGACATTTCCCTTTTTGCCAGGGGGAATAAAAAGGCACAGCAGAATATACATGATAGAAAAATATTTAAAGGTTTTAATTCTCTGCAAGCCAACCGTCAACTTTTTATAATTACCCTTTGAAAACAGGGTGTTGAGGAACAATATTAAAGTCGGCAAAATAAGTACAAGTTTATTCACATTGTTATTAGTTCCAGCTTCACTTTCATAAGCGAAGCGCAGCCATGTTGGTGGGCGGGGTTCGGGGGCAAGTTGCTGAGTCTCTCTGCAGAGAGTCCGGGCGCCACCCCGGGGGTGTCGGTCACACCCTATAACATGCGTTCCTTGAAGAACCACTGCTGATGTGCTGAGGTGGTGCAGTCTCGCAGGACAGGAATGACACTCTCTCTGTGCTTCTCAGCCTGGACACATTTCTTAGACTGTTTGTGAATAAAAGAACCATCCTACAAAAGATTATATAGATATTGATAGTCAGGAGAATGACACACTCAGGATGAGTTTTACCACGTCAGGAGAATTTACTGAAGAGTAAATGCATCATGAGAAGACCGGCAGGGCTGTCTGAGCTGGACAGAGCAGGCCTGAGGGGCCTCTCCTAGCAGCTTGGCATGGCCCCCAAAGCCACTGTCAGAGCCAATGGTGCCACCTGCTGGCTGTTCTGGACATCTGTCAGTATACTGCTTTTCTTCCAGGAAATTGTGACCAAAGAGCCTTTATTCTTGTCGTTCACTTAGGTCAACGAATTCCACCCCCAGCAATTTGCCTCTCTTGAGCAAACTGAAGGGGGTGGGAAGTGGGTTCTATCCACCATGCCAATTCACAAACTCCAAGAGATGATGACCCTTGTTAATGCCTCTTTCCTCTCTTCTCTTTCCCAGCTGCTGTGGAGTGAACTCAGTAAGTCTCTCCCTGAGTCCTGGAGTTTCTCTTTCCCCTCTGCCTCTCTCTGCCATAAGCTGTGCACACCAAGGCACTTAGGCATGGCTGAACAGCAAACTTGCAACACCAATGAGACACCTGTTCTAGGGAGAGAAACCCTGGAAATAAACTTTGATGCAAAAGAATCTCCATCATATTAACTTTGCAAATCCTCAAAAGGGCTGACAAGCTGCCTTTAGGGTAACAAGACAATAAATAATCAAAAGTATCCCTCCTACCCTTCTAAGCAATCTTACAGTTCCTTCCATGGCACCTGCAATCAGTAATAAAATTTTAATGACGTAAACCAGCTTCAAGGTTTGTCTTGCATTACTGTTCCTTGTGGGCTTCCAGCTGGATGGAAGTAGACACGGGGAGGTTATCCCAGAGGATCACCCTGGGGTGCAGAAGTATTCTTCCCTCTTATTTTTATTTATTTATTTATTATTATTTTTTTATAACAGTTTATTTTTACATCATTTTGTAATTTTTTTCCATCCCAATTGTAATCCCCGTGGGTTTCCCATCACCAAGTCACCCGTGACTTTTTATTTTTTAATGTCAGACAGCACTATGGGGCCTGGCTTTTCCAGCTGGTCTCCACAAATTTTACTGCTACTGTAACACTTTGTTCCATCTTCTTATACTTAGAATGAACCCATTTACACACAGCAGATGACCTGGAACCAGGCTGGGAATGAAAGCTAACCAAGGAGATAAGAGAATTAATTTTTCTTTTGAATTTTTTCTTTGGATTTTAAATGCCCCAATGCATTTTGGTGGGCTAAAGGCTATGGCTGACTATACGTGCCCTCGGGAGCCGCCTGCAAATGGGACTAGAGCCTGGGGGCCTTCAGTAAGGGCCCCCTCCAAAGCAACAATGATATTCTGATGGAGAATGGACGTTACCAGAGATGCAGCTTCTAGGAGATTATGCTGCAAGCAGTAAGGACTGTTTCTGGCCATGCATCCTTACTTGAGTTAGACAAGGCTGCTCTTCCTGTCCCCACTTAGAGCTGGGAAAATACAGCACTCGAGAAGTGCAGTGGCTTACACCTCTCACCTGACAGCCTCACACTATGGCTATTTGTCTCACTGATTTAAACACTATGGCTATCGAGATGGAAAAAAAAATGTGCAAAATGATGTAAAAATAAACTTTGTAATAAAAAAACAAACAAACAAAAAAAAACCCCACTCCATCCTGGGATGTATTCAGGACAGTTCCTACTCCCACCCCACTGCAGGGGCAGGTGTCAGGGAGATGGAAAGACTGACAGGGAGTCAACAGGGAGGAGCGCGCTAGTGCTGGTTACTGAGGCTAGAGACTGCAGGACCTGGGACACCCACCCATCCCCCCGAAACCCGCAGAGGATCACATCCCTGAGCCCCACAGGACTAGCCAGAGGAAAGCTTTCAGTCCATGCCCCTCACCCTGGCAGCCCCTGGGACCCAGAACAAGGGAGGAGTGGAGTGCTCACTCACCTCCTTCAAGAAGAATTTCTGATTCTCCGGGGCAGTTTCCTGGCAGAGATGCATGGTGAGAGTATCGGCTCCCGCTTCCACCGCTAAGCAGGCCTCTGGCTGGCGGGTGTTGTAGCGCAGCTCATTCTGGGATGTGTACTCAAAAAACTGAAAATGGAGCACCCAACATGCATCAGCTACCCTCTAACATGGAAAGTGGAGAATTCTTGTGAGCACCCACCTGGCCTCACAAGAGCACAGGGAAGACAAAACACCCTCCTTCCACCCACAGCCTGCCTATCCGTCTCCCCCTGAATGTCTCCCCACAAATGGCAGAGCTCTGGGCCATGTGCTACTCTCATGCCCACCCTTTGCTAGCATGAGGATGGTGTCCTCATCACCCACACCCACTGTGCCTAGCCCTGGGCTGGGGTTCAGGAGGGCTGGGGTGGATCGAGAATGTACTTTTCAAAGCTCTCGGCTGGAAGAATACCTGAAGAGGGCTGAAGAACCAGCATAATATGAAGTTGGAGAGATCTAAATTGTGAAAGTTTCCTTTTGCCATAAGGTGGCTGAACTGGAATGCCACCAGGGTGGAAGAAACTTGAGTTCCCTTTAGATGTCTGATCCTCTTAGGACAGTCAGGCTTTGAAGGTCCAGAACCAACGCTTGAGGCCTCTCCTGGACCCTTGACTGGCCCTGGCCCTGATGGGTCTATCTGCCTTCCTGGGCTGGGAGGCCTGTTCTATCCTCAGACCCTCCAGGAGTTGCTCAATATGAAGCAGAGCACTTAACCTACACAGATCTGTCCAGGCTTCCAGAGAAGGCAATTACCCTAAACACTGCTTTGATGTGGGAGTATGTAGCAAAACCTCTAATTCCCTTTAAGGACTAATTCTATGGAAATCATCCGAAATGCAGAACTGTTGTTTTTTTGCCTTCCTCCCCCCCAACCCCCGGAAGATTAGTGGCATAGGTTTATAGTTGCAAAACAGGAAGGCAGGGAATCATTTAACTCTACAGTAATGCAGCTACCTGACAGTATACAAAAGCCAACAGGAAGGACAATCTCAGCGGCTATCTAAGAACATAAGCCTAATGAGGTAAGCAGAAATAACAAAATAGAAAACATATACTGGCTGTTTAGAACACATAAGATAAAGCCTGTGCATAAAAGAGATATAACATGTGCTCTGATTTTAATGGTGGTTATTCTGGTCCTTTTCACTCATTACTTGTTTTTTGTTTTTGCTTTTTTTTTTAAAGATTTATTTATTTATTTGTACAGAACTGGGGTACATGCCAGAGATGTGGAGGGTGAGAGGATTCACCAGAGACAGAGCGGGGTACAGAATAGGCAGATCAACGAAATACACTACTGAGGGGAGCAGCGGGCGGGTCAGGAGAGGTCTGCCGCGCCTTGTGGATCTCCTCCAGGGCAAGCAGGGGTCGAACTCATGTGGAAGTGGCTTAAGCTTCTTTGTGCTGTGCTTTAACATGCTGTGCCACCAGGGAGGGCCCTACTTGTTTCTTTTTATAGTTCCCAAATATTATATAATGAGTATATATAACCTTTCTAATTAAAAAAATCAAATATCTAATATTTAAAAAACACACCCAGTTCCTTCCTTAGAAGCCCATGCCTCAATCCTTGAACACAAAGCCTCCTGGTCTCCTCCCCAGCCTGACAGTGTCAGGCAGCAGGTACCTGGTTCTGGCCCATCCCATGACAGGGGTACAGGATGACCTGGTGTCCCACCACCTGGTTTTCATTGGGAGGATTGTAGTCAAAGCAGTAGCCTTGAAGTCCTTTGTTCTGGAACTAAATAAAACATAAAGGTGTATTTTGGTCCAGATCTGCATACAACAACAAATTCTACCCAAGGCTCTGAGGGAGGAAAGAGGGAGAGGAGTACTTACCTCGGGAACCAGACTCATAGGTGGGAGCCCTTACATTTCTAGTTTTAAAAATATATTGTCTTTCTATGCCATGTATAGAATCATGACCTGTATTTTAAGATGAGAAACCTGATAAGCAGAAAGATTGACTCTGTAGTCTGGAGAATTTGTACCTCTTCATTTGTCATTAGTACAGCCTTATTGCTACACTAGTCCAAACATAGCAGGGTTGTCGCATGTACCAAGGATCTCCTGCTATTATGCAACTGCAAAGAACACTCAATGGAGAGACCCAGCATTCCCTGGAGAGAGGCCCACAGATCTATACTACAGGAACAGTAAAATACACATCCTGCAACAAGGGGAGATACCTGGGTCAGGGTATCTGAAGTCAGATACCCTGATTCCAACCAAAGACTTCCTCCTCCATCACTTGACACTGCCTTCTCTAATGTCACCTTTTGGCTCTAAAACTCCTAAATCACTCTAAAAGCAAAAACCATAGGAGGTTTACTGTCCCTCCTTGGCCAGCTAGCCAAGGAGAAATTTACAAATGAGGGGGAATCTGAATAAAGGCTGGACATTTAGTGATACCATGAAATTCCTGCTCACAGTATGGGGGTGCTGGTCTGTGGAAATGCAGGCCGAAGTGTGCAGCAGTGAAATAACATGATACCCGGGCTTTGCTTGAGAAAATGAAAAGTGAGGGAGGGTGGGGTAGAGGAGGAGGAGAGCAAAGAGGCAAAAATCTTGATAATTTCTTGACTGCAGGCTTCAGGATGCATTCTCCTATGTCTCTTCGTGTTTCAACTTTTCATAGTGGAGACTGAGCACATTCATAGCCTGCCCTGTATGTATCGAAGCTTTCCAGGTGGGACAACCCACACTTCCTACCCACAGGACACAGCAGTGGAGACCACCCCCTGTCGCTTGACACAGTTCTTTGCAAAGCAAAAGGCACAGGACATCTGAGTTGGCTTCATCTTAGAAACACTTAGGCTTTCTAAATACCAGAGTGACTCTCCTGCCTCACTCCTGCCTCTGTGGACACCCAGGTGGGAGTTATTAACTACTCCACTCACTGGGACTTGAATTAACGTGATAAAAATTGAATTAAGTGAAAAATAGGAAACGAAACACAAATGTGTCTCAGTGTCCTCATCTATGAAATAGAGGGGCTTTTACTTTGCTGAGCTAGACCACTCACCTCCTAGACCTGAACGCCAGACACAAGGGGAGAAGGATGGAGAGTGCCCAGGACCTGTCCATCAGCCTGGAGGCCAGCAGTGAGCGGCCTGCTCACCACACACACGCCCCACTCACCATCCCGAAGAAGCCAGGCCTGTCTTCAGGCACGTGCAGCTCTGGATACACATTCTCCAAAAACCACCTGAAGTCCTTACACTGGAGCTTCTTACGGAGCTGCTTCCTCTCCGTCACGTCCCCGAAAGGTTCCTGAGAAAATACACAACGGTGAGAGCCCTGTAGATCACAGCATTCCTGTCACAGCCTCTCACTCAAGGTGCATTTGCTGAGGGTCAGCTGTGTGCCAGGTCCGGTTCAGGGGATAAAAACCAGCCCCGGACCCTCCCTGGTGGTGCAGCAGGTTAAATCACAGCATTTAGAAGCTAAAGCCACTTCAGCATGGGTTCAATACCTGCCCCGGAGGTGACCCACATGGCACAACAGACCTCTTCTGACCCACCCGCTGCTTCCCTCAGCAGTGTACTAAGTGGGTCTACCTGTCCTGCTCCCCACTGTGTCTCTGGTGAATCCTCTCACTGCCCCTGCACCTCTGGCCTATACCCCAGTTCTATATTCATAAATAAATAAATCTTAAAAAAAAAAAACCAGCCCGGCAGAACTGCAGCTCTCTGGCAGGACCACTGCCCCATCATTTCCTAGGTGCTCTCACCAGAGGGAGCAGCCACCAGGTGCCCAAGGCAGGAACACAGAGCTCATAGAACCAGGGAGCCAAATGCTGCCTCCCCCACCCCAGCCCACTGGACAGTCACATCCCTGAGCTGGTGGTCCCAGTCAGTGGCCTGCCAGGTGTCATTGCTCAGCCACTGACATCTGAACACGGCTCTCAGACACAGGGGTGTGTTTCACATGCTATCCATGTGAAAAAAACAAAACAAAACAAAACAAAAAAACAAAAACCTCAGGTGCTTGACATACTGAGTCTATGCACTTCCGATGGCAAGAGCAAGATGCTGCAGTTGTGGAAGTTAGTTTATGGACAGAACTAATAATTAGGAGCTCTTTTTTTCTTTTAAAGAAAAGATTTATTTATTTATGCAATCAGAACTGGGGTACAGGCCAGAGGTGCAGGAGTGGTGAGAGGATTCACCAGAGATAGAGTGGGGAGCAGGACAGGTGGAATGATGAATTATACTGCTGAGGGGAGCAGCAGGCGGGTCAGGAGAGTTCTGCTGTGCCCTGTGGGTCACTTCCCCCAAGCCGGGGATCGCACTTGTACTGAAGCGGCTGCAGCTAGCTTTATAGTGCTGTGCTTTACTCCACTGTGCCACCAAGGAGGGCCCCAATTAAGAGCTTTCAAATACTAAGCGAGCATCTACTTTTGTGACGAATGGGCGGTCCCAGGAGCATTGCTGAGGGATGGCATTACCATCCCAGCAGGTTTCATGATGTTAAACGATTCCGATTCAACAAGTTAAATATTTGGCAAATGCTAATAGTAAATCAACGTGTCAGGAAAAAAATCCAGACTTATGCTAATTTCCCAGAATTTTGTTCTTTGATGAGTCACTGTGCTATCATTCTAACACTGGGCCACTGGGCATCCAGATGGAGGCAGAGTCCCTGTGACATATTCTTCAGGAATGCTCAGCAAAGGGAGCTGTGTTCCAGACTGGATGACAGGAAGGAGCAGATGCTTCTACCCTGAAACTCAGGCAGGGCAGAGGAAGCAGTGACCCTGGAGCTCAGGGACAGAGATAAGCGGGGTCGGGGCTCGGGGGCCTGAGGGCAGGGCCAGGGTCTAGCAGAACAGAGTGAGGCCCACCAGAGTGCACAGGCCCCAGGCCCAGCTCTACCCCCATCAGCTACCAGGCCAAGGGCATGGTCCTTAATCTCCCTCTATCCAAGTATCAGTTTTCTCCTCTACAAAATGAGGCTTACAGAACCAGCCTGAGAGGGTGCAGGAGGAGACTCATCAAGCAGCTAGAAGAGACTTAGAGCAGTGGCTCTAGCAGTGACATGCATGCGAGTCTGTGTCTGCGTGTTTGCCTGTTCGCTAAAATGTATTCGTAATCTCAAATTCAATACTTGTGTTGTCTTCTCGTTTTCAGTCATTTGCAGACATGTTCAGAATGTTGAAATGTTCGAGTCACCAGCGAGTCTGTTCCCAGCTGAGCTCTTGTTTCAACTCTCACACAGTGACCAAGTGTCCTGTGGACAGTCGACCGTGTTTTTCAGATTTCTGGGCTTTGTGCTGGGGGTTTGCATTGAAAATGGCCCCCAAGATAGTGCTGAGGTGCTGTCGATAGGTCTTCAGTGCAAAAAAGCTCTGACTTACCTTCTGGAGGCACCAGATGGGTCAGACAAGTTCGTTCAGGTCTGTGTTACAGTGGGGGCCTGGCTTCGGGTTCACTATTAATGGACCGACTACACTCAAGAAGGGATCGCTCAATAGACAGGCAAAAGAGCAAGTTATTTCATTGGCTAGTTGAGAGATAGGTAACCTGGGGCTCACAGGTACCTTCTTGCATTGCCCTAGAAGCAATAGCTCGGGATCCCCCAATTCATTGCTCGCAGTGAATAGAAAGACTATTTACTACTGTGAGCAAAAAGAAGCAACTGTATTTCATTATATGCACAGGAATAAGTTTCCTCACACTTGTGACATGAGTTCCCAAGCCCTATTCTATTTCTAGAACCCCAGCTCAGTAGCTTCTGTTTGGATGAGGCCAGATGGGGTGCTGGAGGGTGTGGAACTCACCAAGCGGGCGTGGGGATTGCGATGGTAGTAGAGGTCTTTAAATTCATCCATCCACACTTCAGCTGCACGGACACTGTTGGCCAGAGCCTTTTGGCGGGAGTAGGGTGCTTGCTTGGGGAAAACGTGGCCGACGTGAGAACACGGGTGTGTCTCCAGGATCCCACCGCACTGCCAGATCTGCACACAGAGCAGGAGATGGCTTGTTGGTGCGCAAGCAGTGGGCTGTGGGTCCACATGCCTGCGGCGAGGAGGCGTGGCACAGGGCCGTGGTGATGAGGATGGCCAAGACCTCAGCCTCCAGGGGGCAGGAGGCACATATAGGACACAGAACACAGTCAAGAAGCCAGAAAACAGACCAAGGCAACCCTCAGAAGCCAGACCCCCATTCCATGCTCTGAAGCTCATGCACTTGACTCCCAGCGGTGCCCACATTGACCTTGCTGAGAACATACTTAATCATGTAAAACACAGGCTGATTACCTGATTTCCTAGCCACAGAAGATAGGAAAGCAGCGAGTAAGGAGAGAGGGTTGGAAGGGAGAAAGGAAGAGCTTCTAGAGGCAGGCAGAGCAGCCTGACACCTAGGGAAGAGGCAGAAAGACCATTAAAAGCACCCCCAAAATGCCATCTCGGGCTACTTCATGCCAGCACATGGCTGTGGACACTCATTACCCCCAGATGACCAAGCATAGCACCTGGCACTGACGGTGGGGGAGGTGAGGGCTTGAACCCTCAGTGGAAGGCCACGCTTTGTTGGGTGGCTTATTTTTGCCAAGGAAGGAAGCCATATAATGCTCTTCTTTCCGCAATAAAATGTTATTAAAATGTAAAACTTTCCAAGGAAAGGCAGGAATATTCATGGAAGGTTTTGATATTTAAAATGAGACACAGTTAATGGGACAATCGACCTTTGGTTTCTCAAAGGGACATCTTGGGTCACAAAGAGCAGACCCAGTAGGTAGACTCATTCCCAAAAGCAGACTCCTGGAGCCTACAGTGTATCTGCTGAACCTGACTTTCTTGAGGACTTGCCTAGAAATCTGTCCCTTTCACAGGTTTCCCTGGCCATTGTAGAGGTACCCAAGTCTCAGAGTCATTGCATTAAGAGGTTACTTCAAAGCAGCTAAGTGAACCCCAGTTCCTAAAGATGGGAGAAGGTGGCAGAGACCTGTGTTTCTATTAGTCTCTGGCCACTTGCCCTTTGAGTGACCTTGAGCAAGTCACATCCTGGATCCAAGCCTCAGTTCTCCTCGGCAGAGTACAAGGCCCTTCCCTGCCTTCCATCTATGCAACACACACACATATGTATGTCTTAAAGTTTATATAAGACAAACACATTTATAGGCTGTAAGGACCATTACATTTTTTCAGGACCAATGGATAAAGAGCCACTGAGGAGGAAACGTTCAGCCGGCCTTCATAAAATTCCTCAGAAAGGAGAGAGGGATTAAAAATGAACTAAAGACTATAATACTTACCCTAAAGGAGAATTCGAGGTTTTCTCCGCCCCAAACTTCCATTCCTGTATCATAAGACCCCAGATATTCAAAGTATTTCTTACTCACAGAAAATAGTCCACCAGCCATTGTTGGAGACCTAGAAAATTGTGATACTGTATTTCAATGCCAGCAGCAGGAAATCATCATGGATGGTTCAACTTTCCACACAAGTCAGTGGTCCATTCACCATCTCTAAGCCTATTGAGTTCAAGCTCTGGGCCCGGTGCTAGGCAGGCCTGCCCTGGGAAGCTCACAGGCATCTCACCAGGCAGGCACAGGAACCTGTGTGATAACTGTGTTAACTAAGGTCAACCCAGGGCCTGTGTCCATACAGAAGAGGGCATGAGGCAAAGATGAGGGGTTGGGCTGAGTTTCCTGAGGCCAAATCTGTAGGACCAAAGGAGGTTAACCAAGACAAGGAGCAGAATGGTACTCCAAGAAGACACCAGCTAAGGGTGAGAGAAGCTCTTGCAGGTTTAGAAGCATGGACAAGGAAAGATGAAAGAGAGACTGTGTTCTTGTAGAGCTGGCAGGTTCCGGGCTGAGGTGGCACAGTCACGCAGTAAGAGTACAGGTACCCACTGATGCCACTCAAGGCCATAACAGGCAGCTCTGGTAGGCTCCCTCAGGGCCCGTTCCTCTCCTGCCTGAGTGGCACCCCTGGCAGCACTGGCCTGCTTCTTCAGGCAGCCTTATTTTCTCCCCAACAGTTTCACCCAGAAGGCAGCACTGCCTTCAGAAATAGCCCAAGGCGTCCATCCTACCACAGCCCAAAGCTGTAAGATCAACACAGAGATACAAAGGAATAAATTAACAGTCCAACAATTTAAAACTTGAAGATCTTTCAGTAGCAGTTCTGGTCCTTGACAAAGTATTAGCTTTGTCAATCCAAGCTCTGGAGAGTCTGAGAAAAGGACAACAAGATTCCTTGTAGTGGGGAAGGTTCTAGAACACAAAGTACTTTCACATGTGTCTACCTTAAAAGTCTGAAAATAGGCAAGGTGGGTATGCCTGGCCTATTTCTCAGGTGAGGAAACAGGTCCAGGGATATCATGAAAGGGGAGAACATCTGGCCATATCACTCAGCATGGGCCTGGGGAGGTGATGGGAGTTCATGTAAGTAACACAGACTGGATAAGATCGTTCCTACTCAGTGCCTCAGTTTCCAAACCTGTTCAGTTCAGTGAGGAGTTGAGGAGAATGCTCCCTAAGGGTTCCTACAGAAGCCAAGGCACCAGCTCAATCCTCTCTTCCCCAATTCCTACTCAATTTTCCCAACATTTCTGGAGTCTACTATCTCTCCTCCATCGCCTCCTTCACCATCATTTCTGACCTGGAAGACTGAAAAGACTCCTAATGGTGTCCTTCACGCAGTCCTGGCCCTTCCAGGCCCCTCACCATGTGCATCCAGCACAATCTTTAAAGAATACAACAGACTAAGGTTTCTTCCAGCTCAAATACCTTCAGTGGCTTCCACCCTCTCAAGGGAAAGTTCAAACTCCTTTCTTTGTTTCAAGGCTGGACATGTCTGTCTCTCCAGCCCCATCTCCTGACCTCGACTCTATACTTGGCTCACTCTAGCCATCAACAGGTCATCTCAAGGGAGGAAGAATCCAAACTTCCAACCAAATGTGGGTATAGATCACAGACACCACTGCTCAGAACTCCAGCAGTAAGTACAGCCAAAGTCTGACCTCGGTCTTTCACATCTATCTTCCAATTGGTCATGAATTTGGAAGAGGATGAGGAAGACAGAGTATTACTTCAATGCCCAAGAATGACAGCAAGTATTAAAGTTCCCTTTAAGTCAACTCTACTTGAACCAAGTCTCAAGAATTGGCTAAAGCCAGCTCTCCCACCCCAAAATCCACTTACCTCCCCTCACCCTCCTGCCCCTCAAATAAAAGGAGGTAGATTGTGTGTCCTAAAACGATGAACACAGAATTAACATATGACCCAGCAAATCCACTTTATAGGTATAAGGCCTAAAGAACTATGAAAATATGGAGTCAAACACAGAGCAGTACACAGTTTCAACAACAGCAATACTCACAATAAGGAAACAATCCATCAAAAGATGAATGAGTAAACAATGGAATATTATATATCTACAAAAGGGAAAGGTTCTGGAGTTCATAATGAAAATATCATGTCAAGGGAAATAAGTCAAACAAAAAAGGATCAATATTGTATGATTCTACTTATATGACATGTCTAGAATAGAGAAACTCAGAGAAACAGAAAGAAGTCACCAGAGATTGTGGTAGAAAAAAAGGGTATAGAATATCTCTACGGGATCATGAAAAACTGGAAATTAATACAGGTGAAGGCTATAAAACATGAATGTGGCTTGATGTCATTGAATTGTAGACTTTAAAAAGGTTAAATTAGCCAATTTTACGTTATACATGTTATCACAATCTTTTCAATTAATTCATCATACTAATACAAAATCCATGTGCAAAGCAAAGACTTCTAGTAAAAATAAAGAAGGGGAGTGGGATCTCCAGGTGATCACTTCTCTGGAGGGCTGGCATCTGACCTGATGACATCGATAGGGGACCGCATCTGCTTCCTCTCCCTCTCAGGAACCACATGCCACGTGAACACCAGCCTCCAGTCAAAACCGCCGATCTGAGGTTCCTCGGGGTTCCCCAAGTACTCAAAGGTGTTCCAGTCAATCACATCGATCACAGGGCACACCACAGCTTTCTCCTCTTGGTGTATCCTGCAAACAGCCAAGACACCCATCCCTCCATATGGGCCGGTGGTAGAGGACACTTAAGAAATTTGGGGGTGAATTTTCCTCATCCTATCACTAGGAAAGAGGAACTCCTTGTGAGAAAGGCCTACTACTTCTCTCCTTCCAGGTGTCTATAGCTATATCAGATCAGGGGTGACTACCTGGGAGAGCTGAGTGGGAGGCTGGAAGCAAGGAATCTGCCTACCATGCAAAGTCCCACAGCTTTAATAGTCTCTCATTCTATCTATGAATTCTTCTGGCTAAACATGCCACCCTCCATGAAAATCAAGATATAGAAAAGTCAAAAGTAAATTTTAAATCAGAAAGCAGATTTTCATCTCTCAAGATTGCAAGAGACTTTGTCCTTATTCGCTGAGTGACATCAGCCAGGTCTTCTAACCTCTCACAGCCTATTATATCATGGTTAACGCTGGAAATACTACTAAATGCTCCCAGGCTGCACACGAGGCCTCCCTGAGGAATCTGTAAGATGGGTGGAGAGACCCAGAACTATTGCCGAGAAGCAATAGTTGATGGGAAGGCGTCATCGGTCCTGTTGAAGGTCGCAGCCTGTGCGATATTGCTGTGCTCCCCAGAACCCTGCTGCTGGTCCAGTCACCCTTCAGCAGACTGTGTTTCTTGGTATTTGACAGCACAGCAGAAAGATGAACTGAGACTGAACCATGTGTGAACACCAGATTTCTCTGGGTTCTTTGAGGAATAGTTACCTGGAGTTCGTGAGCCATAAAGCATAAGAGTTCCACTAAAGAATGGTGTGAGGAAATAGAGATCAATCAGATGTGAGTCATGAATGTTCTTAGAAAAATACCAGAATGTCAGAGGCAGGACAAACATCTCAGTGAGGTAAGAATTAACTCTAGGGGGATTGCACCATTCGGAGCACATTGAGCTGGAGAACGAACCTGTGAGTTCATGAAAATGAGGAAGTTGGAGACTGAATAGCTACCAACACCCCAATCTTTAAGTCAGTTGAGGGCATTATTAAAAGGCTGTGAGGGTCAGCGCAGATCCAGGAGTGAGGTTCAGAGATGCTGCCAAGGGTTCGTGACTGGACACCGAGCTGCTTGAAACCCTGGGAAGTCTAGTTTTTATATGAAGGGAAAGCTGGGGGAGCCAGCACTGGCGTGAAGGACTCTTAATCCTGGTTAGAGAACGTGCAGGCCCCGAGGCAGCACACTCTGTGGGTGCAACCAGCTTCTGGGACACAGCGTCTCTGCTATAGGGCATCTCTGGTCCCAGAGCACAACATGCAGTGTTCTACCTGGTTGACATGACAACCAAAAATTGTTTACTTCCCCAGAAGTCTCCAGAGGGAAGGACTTCCTGGTCCTGGTTGAGACCGCCTCCACCAGTCACTGTCAACAGTCACTACAGTCACATTTCAGTCTACAGACTAATGTAGCTCAACTCTGGGGCACCCTAAGTCCCTGGGATGCTTTAGAAACCTAGAAGCCTGGGCCTCTTCACCAGAGACACAGATCCAAAGAGATGCCAGTAGGATTAGTAGGTCTAAAGGTTCCCCATTGGGTTCTAAAGTACAATCTAGGATGGGGAAGCCCCTCACCTCCAGATATGGAGCAAAGGTTTATTACTTCTAAAGGGGGGGCTAGAGTGGAATTCTAGGCAGTATTAGCATGTCAGCCAGGGGAAAAGTGGTCCCCACCATGACATGCAACTGCCCTCAAGCAGAGTAGGGGTGGCGGCGAGGCGATCTATCAGCCCAGGTGCTGAGGCAGAGCTGTCTGTATGTTCTAGATAATCTCAGATTCCACCAGCTGCCTGAGGAGCCCTGAGTCCTGAGTTCTCGCTGCGGTGAAGCCCATCAGAGCTGAGGAAAAAGGCAGCTGCGACAGTCACAGGGGACAAGAGCCCGAGACTGCAGCCAGAAGCTTGGTTTCCCCTGGGTAGGGAAGCAAGTGGTCTCAGCTCTTCATATACTCAAGCAACCAATGGGGGTGAGGAGGGTGGAAAGCAGCTTGTCAACTGCAGAGACCCTGATCGAGCAACCCTTCACTCAGTCCACCTGGGGAGACCTGAGATGCCCTCAGACCTTCCTCTCCACCTGAAGGAGCTTGGGCTTTGCCAGCCAACTCGTGACTTCTGGGATGCAGAATCAGGAGCATGGGGTAGAGAAAGAAGCAGGAGAAGAGGACAAAGTCTGGTCAGTGTGGCTTGGGAAGGGGCGGTTTGGGATGGTCAGAATAAGAGGCTACTGGACAGCAGAGGGAAAGGCCCTGAAACAGGGTCACATTGTGTTTCACCACTCTATAAGAAGATCAGTTGAAAAGTATGTTTTACAACTACATAAGTATCAAGGCAAACAGTCTATTCTAGATCATGATTATTATATGTTATATCCCTTTTTTTTTTCTTCTTCTCATTTTAAAAGAAATGAACATGATAATTCTTCTTGGGGAGTCCCTTCAGGTTTCATGGGGCCGAGGCACTGTAGGTTTCAGATGTAATGGATTAAGTCAGTCCTGCCGAAAGGAAATACACCTGAGAGTCGATTCTGCAGGAGTGTGATTTGATACGTGCAATATTTTTTTTTAGTGATTTTTACAATAAACAAGTATAATACACTGTAGTAAGAGCAAACACTCCCACATTCTGGCAAATTCTAAGCACTGTGCAGGTATTAATTCATTTAATGGCCACCGGCTGAAGAAGGGTGACTGGAGGGGTGGGGGCAGGGTGTTCCTGGGGACACAGGGGCACCCCGTCGCCCTGCAGCGCCTCACGCCACAGGACGGCGTGTTTCTGCGTCTGCGCAGTGGGCCCCTCCCGCGGCGGCCCACGCACCTCTGCAGCAGCGGCTCCAGCCAGCCCTCGTGGCATTCGCAGTGGCAGTCCAGGAAAGTCAGCACCTTGCCCTTCGCCACGGAGGCCCCCAGCAGCCGGGCGCGCACCAGGCCCTCCCGCTTGGTGGCCCGAATCAGGCGCACCTTGGGCAGCTTGGCCAGCTCGTCAGCCAGGCGCTCCTTCAGGTGCTCTGGGGAAGACAGGGGGCGGCAGCGTCACGGCCAAGCAGCCCAGGCCCTGCCCGCCAGGGCCCTCCCGGTCCCCAGAGAAAGCCGCACAGACTGGACTGCCAGTGTTCTATCACGGGGCGTCCTCACCTCCCTCAGAACCTAGCCCGGAAGTGGCCCAAAGCCCCCGGGGACGCTGGGGTCAAAACAAGCCCCTCATCAAAACACTGTGGAGCCCCCACACCTGCCGAATGAGTTACGCCAGCTTGGTGATGTGAGAGAAAAATCTCCTGTAAATAACTGTTATTTTGAGTCTCTGTGAGAACAGCCAAACACACCCACCAATTAGGACCCACACACAGGCTTTGAAGTCAGACAGGACTGAGCCTGACACAGCAGATGCCTGAGTCCTTCTGAGGTGGCCCAGAGATGGCGGCTTGGTGTGAAACAGGCTCTAGCAGCTAAGCCCACAGCTCTCCCTGCTGCTACTCCTTGACATTTCCTTCCCTTAGCTGCCTTCATGTGAGGAGTTGCCAGAGATTTGCTGGCCAACTCCTTCTCCACCTTCCAGGCAGCCCCTACACCCTGCCTTACCAGGCCTTCCACAGCTCATGTGTAAGCCTCACCTGCCTCTCAGGCCCACCCTGTCTATGCCTGTGTCAGCTCCCCTGGCTGGTGGTCAGCCCTGGAAAATGGAAGCTCCTTCCACATGCTACTGCCAGGCCTGAGCCTCCTCCCAACATCATGGCCACACTTTCGCGGTGCTGCTGCCTCTGCATTCTAACTTCAGTTTAAAGACCACCTCCTCAGGCCCTCCCTGGTGGCACAACGGGTTAAAGCACAGCACTGTGAAGCTATCTTCAGCCACTGCAGCACGAGTTCAATTTCTGGCCAGGGTGGTGACTCACATGACACAGCAGACCTCTCCTGACCCGTTCACGGCTCCTCTCAGCAGTGTATTTTAGTCACTCTGCCTATTCTGCTCCCCACTCTGTCTCTAATGAATCCTCTCTCCCCCTGCATCATCTCTGGCCTGTACCCCAGTTCTTGTATGCATAAATAAATACATCTATTAAAAAAAAAAGACCACCTCCTCAAAGAAGCCTTCCTGACTATCTCCAGCTGGAGGGGACCCCATCCCTGGGCTCTGCTTGCTCTCTGCTTTTGTGTTTCATAGCACAGTTCTATTTGGGCTGCACAATGTTATATTAATTATGTTGTGTTTCTTTATGTGATGTTAGGTTGTGTTCTCTCCATGGGTATTGACCCTCTCCACCCACATCCGTAGAATGCACCTTTTATGAGAACAGGATCTTGTCATGTGCCCCACAGAATCCCCGAGGCCTAGAACAGGGATTGGCACACAGTCAAAACTCAAAAAATGTCTACTGAATAGACAAAAGGCTGGACTGCACGTGAACTTCTGGTCTCAGATCATTGGCCAGGTCCTCTCTTGGAACACCTCTCCCTGGCTTCAGTTCTCTGAGTGGGGTACCCCCTTTTATCTCATCTCAAACTCCACATGTCCAAGAGGAGGCTCCTTCCTCCCAACCTGGGTGACTTTTCCAGTGTTTCCTTCCCTCCCCTCTGCTGCCTGACTCTACGCCTCCATCTCTCATTGGGCCACCTCAGCAACCCCTTGTATTCACCATACTCTGGTCCAGGGGGACACCCCCAAAGGCAAAACTACTCTCCTGCTTGAGACACTGCCTGGCTCCCACTGCCCTGAGGACAAGTCCTATGCCTCAGTCCATCCAAATGCTTGCCCTTTCCCACCAAGCCCACCCTCCACTACTGTGACTCCCTAAAGCAGCTGGCTCTCCACCCCTCCTAGACTCCTGGCAGATTCCACAAAACCCACAAAATCCACACATCAAAGAGCCCCAGGCCTTTCCACACTCCAGGTGGCATACCCTCTTTCCATATTTGCTGCCCACAAACTACTCAACTTTGAAAAAGAAGGGTAGCAAATGCTCCTTCCTGAGCACCCAGACAGCAAGTCCCTCTCGCTGTCTAGCACCATGCATGGAGTCCTCTGTTAGCACATCTGGGCCCCCTGGTTCTGAGACCCAGAGGGCAGGGGCTGGGTATAGGGGAAGAGGAAAGAAGCCTGGTCTGGCCAGGCCTGTCGTGCACCTCTGCTGTCATCGCCCCTCAGGCCCTGTCGCATGGACAGGTCCTCCGAGCTGGCGCTGGAGCTCACCTCTATCACTATAGTCATCCACGAGGATCACTTCTTCCAGCAAGATGTCTGGGGATGTCTCGAGGACACTGTAAACTGTCCGGAGGAGAGTTGACCAGGCTTCGTTATAAAATGCAATGACAACAGATGTAGTGGGCAAATCATCATAATTATATTTCTTCTCTTTGCACCTGCAAATACAACACAATTTTAGGAAACGAGTTCCTACTGCTGACTGCATGGGCCAGGCCCAGCTTGGGGCTGGGGTACAGCGGAGAGGAGAAAGCCACAAGCTCCCACAGAGAAATGACAATCCTCCAGAATCCCCCACCCCTGGATTCCACTGGGAATCAAGGCAAGGTTTTAAAACAACATCCAACAAGATTATACTGTGGAATCCTGTTTTCAGCTTTAATTTTCAGATTTGAGCTATATACAAACTACGCAGAATCCGAGGAGAGGACTGTTGCCTCTCCATCCTCGGCAGCTTTGCTGTTTACTGCCTCCCATCCCACTGCCAGGCCTTTGCTTGGATGGTGCCCTCTGCCTACAGCACCCTCTCCTTCCTCTGCTTGGCAAACTCTGTCCTGTTTTAAGAATAATTCAACCTACTCTCCTGTGGGCCTCCTTTGTGGGTCTTGCTCCAGCATGTCCCTCCAGTACCCCGAGGACTCCAGCCAGCAGGCCTCTCTCACAGTACTGTCCCTCCCTGCCTCTCCCAGCATCGTCCCTGCACTTCACGCCAGCAGAGACCACACTTAACAAAGGAGGTGTGCTGAATGCAGAGGCCAGATTCAGCACAAGGACTTAAGAACATTCCAGAATGAGACTGAGCCCACTGTCTCCAGGGATGAGCCCCAATTGGCAATGACAGGAACCAATAAATTTCCTCTTTGTTTTGGAAGGTTTTCTGTTAACTTTGCACAGAAGAAGTTCCCTGGTTGACAGAGAATTCTCTCCACAGAGTAACTGATGACAAATTCTCCCTATCATCCCAGGAGCAGGACAGTGCAATGGAAATAGTCAGCAAGAGGTGACTGACCACAAGGAAGTAGGAAGAGAAGCCCCAAAAGACATCAGAACCATGGTTTGAGTGCGGTTGTGGCCAAAGGTTTAGAGTCAAGGGCGGAGCTGGATGTAGAGGAGGAGAAAAATGCTGAAGACTAGCCAGGCTCCCTGGCAGAAAGGGAGGCCTTATTCACAAGTGAGTGGCAGGTTGCAGAGATGGGGCGGCAAGCAGGATGCAGCGTGACACTTATCAGCTGCTGACCGTCCAGGCATCAGACTGGTCAATCTCCAGTATTTCCTGAACGCCCACTGCAGGCCAGAGAGACCAGGCCTAAGTTCCATCCAGCTTACATTCAAGGGGACAAGGACCAGGTAAGCAAACATATCAATAATTTCAGAAAGTGATTGTGCTATGAAGACAATGAAAGAGAAAGCAACTAGCAGGGAAAGTGGGGTGGGGGAGGGGAACAACACAGAACAGAGCACTTCTCACAGGGGTGACATTTAGGATGAGAGTCTGAAGAGTGAAGAATAAAAGAAGTTGCTCTTAAAGCTGGGAGTGTTAGAGAAAGTGAAAATCATATCAATATTTTTATTTTATAACTACAATGTGGTATTGCGAGAGAATGACCTTGTTTTTAGAAAATGCATGCTGACATAATAGTGGAATAAAGGGTTATGATCTCTGTGATTCACTCTCAAATGTCTGCCTTGTGGTATACAGAAAGAAAAATTCAGTAAATGGGACAAAACAATAATTGGCAGATGTAGGTGAAAGGAGCTCATTGTGCTATTTCTGCACAAATTTTTCTCTAGGTTTAAGTTTTTTTATATTTTTATTATTTCCTTAAAGATGTGTTTATTTTTGCATGTAAGAACTGGGGTACAGGCCAGAGGTGCAGGGGCAGTGAGAGGATCCACCAGAGACAGAGTGGGGAGCAGAATAGGCAGATCCACAAAGTACACTGCTGAGGGGAGCAGCGGGTGGGTCAGGAGAGGTCTGCGGCGCCATGTGGTCAGCTCCCTGGCCGGGGATTGAACTCAGTGCTGCAGTGGGTGTGGACAACTTCTTAGTGCTGTGTTCTAACCTCTTGTACCACCAGGGAAGCCTGGGTTTGAAATTTTTTAATTTAAAACTTTATTTATTTTAAAGAATTATTTATGCATGCACACAGATCTTGGGTGTGGGCCAGAGGTGTGGGGGTGGTGTGGTAAGAGGATTCACCAGAGACAGAGAGGGAAACAGAACAGAGATCTACTGAAATACACTGCTGAGGGGAGCAGTGGGGAGACAGGAGAGGTCTACTGCACTATGTGGGTCACCTCCCTGGCCAGGGATAGAACTTGTGCTGCAGTGGCTTTGGAGACCTTCAGTTATGTGCTTTAACCTGTTGTACCTCCAGGGAGGCCTCGGTTTGAATTTTTTTAATTTAAAGCTTTAATAGAAGAGGAAGAAAAAAGTTTAAGCCTGCCCAAACACCACACTGATTCTGATCTATAGGTATTTCTTTCCAGAAGTCCTACCTCTTCCTTTCCCACTGCTACCTAAGCAGCTGTCCTCCTCTAAATATGTTATAGCAAATGAAAACATATATGTATGTGAACAAAAATAGTAACAATACTGAAGTCAAGGAGCCCACTAGGACAAGGCAGAGTAAAGGAGAGCTGTGTCGCCCTATAAGGTTCAGAAAGAATAGTTTATACTGCAGGAAAATAGTTTTTATGAGACTGAAAAATAAAGATTTTTATCTTTAAAAACAGTAAAGCTGGCCCTCCCTGGTGGCGCAGCAGATTAAAGCACAGCCACTTCTGCATGAGTTTGATTACCGCATGAGTTCGATTCCCGCCTGCCCAGAGGTGACCACATGGCGTGGCAGACCTCTCCTGACCCGCCCGCTGCTCTCCTCAGCAGTGTACTTCATAGATCTGCCTGTTCTGCTCCCCACTCTGTCCCTGGTGAATCCTCTCACCGCCACTGAGCCTCTGGCCTGTACCCCAGTTCTGTATGCACAAATAAATCTTTAAAAACAAACAAACAAACAAAAAAACAGTAAAGCTACAATGTAGAATCGGAGATGCTTTGGGATAAAGAGAAATGAATGGATAGAAGACGGTGAAGTAAGGCTTTTCAAAAATAAAATTTATTCAATGTAAAGAAGATTCCTTTCACTGAAGTCACGCCCATGCTGTTTGGGATTAAAATCTATTTCTTCTTTTGACAAGAACAAGTCAGAGGGTGGACAAAGCCTTATCAGGCCAAGAGGAACTGAGACCGCACGTCAGTCCTGCCTCAGTGTTTTTGTATATGTGTTTTCACTGCTCTGCGAAAACTAACAGCTTCAGGGCACTGTTCTAAAATAGTTAGGGGGGACCTCTGAGACTCTTAGGTCACGGAACGCAGAGTATCAATTTGACAATACATATCCAGAGTTTTAAGACATTCCTCTTCTTTTTCATCTTACAGAAATGGAGTTATGATTTTCTCCCTGAAGGGGATCATCAGAGAAACTCTAAGGGGGTGTGGCATAAAAAATTGCCCTGCACAGCATTGTTTGTGATAGCAGAAAGCTGTAAACAATTCCCCTGTCCAACAGTTCAAAACCTCAGAGCCCAGCAGCATGAAGAAAGGCTTCATGCCCACCCAAAATACAATATGCTGTCAGAGGATATTAGATGATAACGGAGAGTGGTCACATTATAATGTTAGATCAACAAAGCAGGGCACAAATCTATAAACAGGCATTAGGGCCAATTCTATAAACAACGTGTGTGTGTGTGTGTGTGTGTGTGTGTGCTTATATATAAACAATAAACAATAGGGAGAGATATGCCAAAAATGTTAACAATGTCCATTTCTGAACAGTGGGGTTATCACTGGTTCTTATTTCCTTATATTTTTTCTACATTCTGAAATTGTTCTACAATGAGCACGTATCATTCTGGGAATCAGAAGGAAAGATTCCTTTTTAAAAGCTGGATCATATTTCTCTAGCTTCCATAGCAAATGACTTCATTGAGCAATAATTCAATATTCTCCCCTCTCCCTTTTTTCTTGGCCTGGTAGTTTCTCTTTCTTTCTTTAAAACATTCCTTAAAGGCTTTCTCCTTCATGAAGCTCAGTGTATCATGCCAGGAGGTCTCTAAGAGTCCAGGAAAAATACTTTCCCCTTTTGCTGATAGATAAAAAGCTGTACCTCCTTCAATCAGACAAGGAGGGCATCACTTCAGGATTCCAGTTTTTTCTTGGGCTCATATTCACAGCTCAGCCACAGTAAGTCAGCTTTACTTTGGGGTATGATCCAAGTGCTTTGTGAAGACAGGGGCTGGACTGTGTCTGTGTATTTTCAGCAGACTTTGTACGGTGTACCTGTGACAATGGTAAGTAACACTTACTAAGTGCTTCCGATCAGCGGGGCTGTGAGCTAAGCATTTTGTATGCATCACTCCATTTAAACTTTCTAACAAGAGGTTGGGGTGGGCAATTTCCAAAGCACAATACATGTATGTGAATTATATGATGTGAATGGACAGGTGGAGTGTCTCCTGATTTTCTTTTATCTTTAGGTTATCACATAAATGCCTTTAAAAGAGAGACTTTAACCCCTGCACTACAAGGGAGGCCCTATCACATAAACGTCTTTAAAAAAATTAAGACCTCTGCCCTCCCTGGCGGCACAGAGGGTTAAAGCGCAGCACTGCAAGCTAGCGGCAGCAGCTTCAGTGCGAGTCTATCCCCCTTACATGGCACAGCAGACCTCTCCTGTCTCCCGGATGCTCCCCTCAGCAATGTATCTCATCAACCTGCCTGTCCTGGTCCCTGCTTTGACTCTGGTGAATCCTCTCACTGCCCCTGTACCTGTGGTCTCTGCCCTAGTTCTGTATGCATAAATAAATAAATCTCTTAATAAAAAAAAGAGAGAGAGAAAGAAAACACGTGGAAATTATTTAAAAAAAAAAATTACAATCTCATTCTTTGGACAACAGGCCAGGAAGTCATAATGAACTCTGGTGTGTTCTACCTGCCCAGAACCCTGTCTTCCTTCACTTTCTTGCACTTTCTCTTTCAGGAACCAGTCTCCCCAGTTCTGTTTGTGTGTTTTGTGCAGAGCTGAACACGCACACTCATTTACATATACCCAGCTAGATACGCTTATGTCTCTAACGAGTCCCATGTGTTCACATA